CTCTTTCCCTCTCCCACACTCTCTCTCTCTTCCTGTCTCGCTCTCGTCTGCATCATTACCACTTTTATTGCCGTCTTCAGTGTCTGCGTGTGTTTCCTGTATCGACGAGTCAAGCGACTCGTGCTCAAGCGATATATCAATGACACATACGACACACACACACACACACACGCACGCACACACACATATATAATCTAATATTACAAACATATACATATACATTTATATACATATATATATGTACATATGTATTTATTCGCATGTTGCCTTTCACACACGTCTGCCCATTTGTCTCCATCCCTCCATCCCTCCGCCCCTTGTGCTCCATCGGGCAGTTGCTTAAGCGTTTTGTCTGCTGACTTTTCTATGAAATCCTTCTTACAACTATTGCTAAAGAGAGTTTAATACTTCTTCAAATACACTTGCTAAGGGTCTTATAACTTTGGCCAAACTTCTGCCACGCACTCATGTAGCAATCGCTTACTTTTGGCAGCGAGTAGTTATAAACGTTCAAATCCTATAAAAGCGAAGAGCTCAAAGAAATAATTTTCAATATTTATTAAATAAGATTCGAGCTTTTAGCTATTTATAAGCAAAGCAAAATATTAGAAAACAAGCATTTATTTTTAGATATATCTAAGCTCTTTGTAAAAATCAAAAAAAGAAATACCTATGTATTATACTTTTAGATCACTGCTAAGCTGCTCAGTAAATTCCACAAATATTGATCACTGTATTGAGTTGAATATTTTGTAGCCACGAACGAGTATTACGCAGTCGATCGCTCCCGACTGCAGGGAGCTCAGGCTCTAGTCAGTCGCCCTCTCTAGTTGGTTGGATTTTTTGTCCGCGCTTCATTTCATTTCTTTGTTAACATGATTCGTTTTTTATGGCAGCTGCGAAAGGATTTACTCCATTTAGCTTAAATACTTATTTAAGCTTAGTTTGCTCACATGGCCACGCCCCCAGAAATACCGCCCCGCCGGCAGCTGTGGCAGTGGAAAGCATGTGGCTGGGTGCCTTAATTCATTTGGTGCATTATTTAAATTGCAACGCAAGCGTATTGAAAGTACACAAAGAAGCGTTTGTTTGTTGGCATGAACTATTCACCCAGAGCCACGCCCCGGGGCAGAGCTCGACGCCTGACCGCGTGGTGCTGATTGCTTTTTGTCATTGTTCGAAGGTTAAGCAACGGAGTCCAGCCGGAGATCCATTTAAAGTTGAAAGCGAAGAGAAGTTGAAGGGAGTTCCTCTAGATTTAAGGAGTTTAAGGTCATAGAAAATATTTTGGTTTTGCTGTCAAAGGTCGATTTGAAAACTGTTGATAGAAACTTGTCAACTCTTTGACGTTGTACGAAATTGATCAGGTGCTACGCACTTCATTTTTATTTTGTTTCATTCAAAGGCTAATGCCCTCAAAAATATAGATATAATAAAAATTTTTAAATATATATGACTAAAAATGAATGTAGATGAATGCCAAAAAAATATGTCGATTTTGGGTCTGGATGAACTTGGAGCTCGCGAATCCTTAGAGCACATGGATAGTTCCAATCCCTCTAGCATTTTGAATACGACTCCCGTGTATTACGACGAGTCCAGCGATTCCGATAGCATACAGTCGGCGCCGGAGCTGTTTGTAGAGCAGCGTAAAACCGAAAACGCCCGACTGTACCCGCTAGAGGTGAAGCTTTACTGGACTTACGAGGAGGTTGAACGAGGCCTTATGAAGAAGAAGCGCAAGCGACGTGTCGATTTGTACACTGAGCGATCAGTCAAGCGCAGAAAGTTCTTTAAGGAGTGGCCCGGAACACCCAAAGTGCTGAGTCCTAGGCAGGAATTGGGCTACGAGGCTGACGATGAAAATTAATATGCATGTTGAAATTTCACTTTTTAATAAATTAACTTACGAAAGGGTTCGATAATACACGGCACGACCTTTAAATCAATTTATTCGTAGACATACCTAATGGATACCTAAAGTACCTAGAGAAATTTCAACCTTTTTTCGCTCTTCTTCAGCATACATAAGAAACACACACACAGACAAGAAAACATGGGGAATTCGTTGTTTTAGGCCGTGATAATACAAAAATATCGCACATACGTATAGACAATCCAGATAGACAGCGATAGACGGACAGAGATAAATCAGCTCATCGCCCTGATCAAGATTCGATACACATTGTGGGGCTTGCCACGCCTCTTTCGACCTGTTACATACATTTTAGCACACTCAATGTATTTTCACATACCTCCAAATTCAACAAGAATTACGTACCATATCTAAGTATTTATTTAACACCCAGAAAATTAAATGGATGCGCTAATTTACTTGCTTATTGCTTAATTTAATCCTGATAATGAATGGGTACAAGAATACGCAAGAATCATCAGAAATTCTCCTTGTATTTTGCTCAACTTAAAAATGTCAAAATCGATTTGTTTACTTTTTGAAATCATGTTAGTTTTGAAAAAGCAATCAAAAATGTTTGTACCTTACATCGTTCTGCCTTCTATAGCTTCAGTCTACCGCCTTACCTCAAAAGTGTAACACCTAAATTTTTTATCCTTAAGTATTCAAAATGTTCATTGGCCCAGTTCAAAAAGGTATGTAAAAAAAAAAAAAAAAAATGAAAAAAAAAAAAAAAAAAAATAATTTTAAAGCATATACATATATAAAAGGATTTTAAAATATTTATTTTTACATTTATTTTTAAGTAATATACAAGTATAAATATTTATATAAATATCTTTTCTTTTATAGAGCATCTGCACCAGATGATCCTGGGCTGTGGTTGGCCTTGTGGATCTCTAAGTGGGCCATGTTGTTGTAGTGGATGCTGCGGCAGCTGCTGTGGAGGTTGCTGTGGAGGAGGCTGCGGCGGCTGCTGCTGATAATCGGGCTGATTTTCATCGTGTCAGTTTTGGACGGGGACCAATGGGCTGCCGTTTTGCCAGTACAATCTCATCGAGAAAGAAACCACATTCAACATCTTCTGGCAAAGGCAATATTATGTGCATAGTTTAACAAATAAAGTGTGAGGCTTTTCCTATAATTTTCGTGTTTTTATTGTGGTCTTTGAAGTATGATGACAAGATTAATCGCTTAATTCCAGTATTCGGTTTCAAAGACTGAAAAAAAAAAAATAAAAAAATAAAGAAAAAACTCGGGTCGCTGACAGCACATTTTATTCCCGAAGCATATCGCTCCGAAGGCACTAAGGCACCAGGAGTGGATAAGCATCGTAATGTGATCTTAGATACTGCATGCATAGCCGCCTTATGAAAAATCCAAAAATTTATTGAATTCCTTTCCCTAGATGTTTGTGGCAAGCTGCGGTACATCTCAAGCTCTCTCTTTTCCGCACAGTGTAAGCATCATAGTGCTTTCTTTTCATATGCGCCATATTTGATGTGTTACCACTTGTTTTTATTAATTTAAGGCACAAATTACATTTTGCTGCTCCATTTTTAAAGTTCGAATAATTCGTTTTTCCATATTCAATTTTTTTTTTTTTTACTTTTTTGCTTGATTCATTTATGACGAGATTGACCATCTCCAATATATCAATAAATCGCAAAAAATATTCGATATTTGGCCAAAAAAAATATAACGATATAAATATAATTTTTAAACAACAAAATAACGATATATTGATATTTTGATATATTTTCGACAGCCCAATTTTATACGCCATAACCATATAAGTCGTTATAACCGGGTTCTACTATATATATAGCCGATCGAGCCATGACTGATGGATTATGGGTAGCTCTTCTACTCCACCGAAACTCGAATAGAACGTATTTTAAATAGTGGAGACTACTTAGTGTTACTTATTTTGGTTGTGATAGGTATCAATGCTTTTGCTCTCTAATTCACTGGCTGGTCCTCGCTCGAAATGGTGCACCGTTTTTCTTAACTGCTTATCGACTAAAAAGTCCAACTTTCTTAAACTGCTGCTCACATGGGAATTATGGGATATTTCGCATTAACCTTCAAAGCTTAGTCTTTATAAATACTCTAGCTAAACGCTGCCAACATCTTTTCGGTCAATAGCTCTCATCTTGTTCATCTCCAATTTACTGTTGAATATTTGCTCCAATTACATCTCTTTTAGTCTTTTTATTAGTCAATCTAGTTATATTTTCAAATTGATTTCAAGTTTGTGTAATACAAAAATTTGTATCTGGTAAAGTTAGCATTGAGAAGCCTGTCATCAATTTTAGTACCTGAGCTCGCACCGTGTTCTATAGCTTCAGTCTCACACAACTATTCAAAAGTTCAACATCTAAATTTCTATTAAATTTAATTCTGCAAAAATGTTCATCGGTCCAGTCCAAAAGGGTAAGAAAAATAAATAAATATGAAGTGAATAAATAAATACATATTTTTGTATATATAATATATACATATATTTTTTCTATTTTAGAACATCTGCACAACATGATCCTAGGTTGTGGCTGGCCTTGCGGGTCGTTGAGCGGTCCCTGCTGCTGCAGCGGTTGCTGCGGCAGTTGTTGTGGTAGCTGTTGCGGTGGGTGCTGCGGTGGCTGTTAACATTGAATGAGGGGACAAGGACTACACAAGGATCGATGTCAACTGATGTGCAGAAACATATAAAATACATTCACCATCTGCTATTTAATATGAAGTGAGGCTGAAAAATCGACCATCATTTGAAAATCCGAAGTTGTATTACCTGTGGGCTAAGGAATGGAGTTAAATGCTGCAGATCCCTAAAAAAAAAAAGAGAACAGTTGTTTCGGAACTACAGGAATGCAGATTTAGATATTTTTTAAAATAAGAAAATTTTGCACAAGATCAAATAAAAAATTTTGTTTTGAAAAATGAACAGTTTTTGAGCTTTTTTCATTTACTAATTCTATATGTGTTTTAAAATATATATAAAAAATTAAAAAAAATAAATAAATATATACAATAGGCACGTTTATGAAGGCTAAATAAAAAAATAAAAATAAAATTTCTAAACGAAAAAGAGAGAAGCAATAAAATAATAATTAAGATAATAACGTTTTCAATTACTAATTTTATTTCATTTATTTTTTTTTTTTTTTTTTTAGGATATAACAGGATATAAATATACGATATATGATATTTTATATATTTTAAATAGACAAATGTGATGAACAAAATAGATTTTTTAATCATATAATCTAAGGAAAATAAATCATATTTTTCTTCAACATGCTGCTTTTATATTTTGACTTCAGCCCAGCAACAACGGCCTTAGGAACAACGTCTATTTATTTAATTTTTTTTTTTTTTTTTTTTTTTGGCAAATTTCCAGCTACAGTATGTTTATTGGCCCGGTTCAAAAGGGTTTGTATTTAACTACATTTAATTTTAACTTAAAATTTATTAGGAATTTACTTAAATAATAGAACACTTGCACGATATGAGCCTGGGCTTTGGCTGGCCCTGTGGATCGTTGGGTGGTTCCTGCATTGTCAGAGGATGAATCCCTATCGCGAGAGGACACAGCAGCGCCAACTCGCACACAAGCTAAAAATACATGTATAAATTCAGGCACAGCAATAAGACGTTGTTCCACACGCCATTAAAATAATAATAAATATAAATTTAATATATTATATATGTATATTTGTTTCGTTCTACTGTGAAATTCACTGAAAATCTGCTTCGATTGCTTATTAGGAAATTGTAGCAAATGCTGATGCTTCCCTGCAAATACGAAATGGGACGAGCGTGTGCCACATGGAGCAGACAGTGCTCGACAGGGCAGAGCCAGGTAATGCTTAATTTGAGTTTCAGCAAGCTGCATGTGATTATGGCAACAGTCGGAAGAATGCTCGGGCATTGAAATTTTAATTAGTGTCAAGTGCCGCCCACAAAATATAAATGTGCATAGGGCGTGGCACAATGTTGATGTCAGCAATTGAGTTGATCAAAGTAAATTGCTAGCCAAGTTGCTCATACGCCCCATGTGGCGCTTGCAATTATTAATGACTGCTGCAAGTGCAGCAGCAGCAAACGAACAAGAATAAAGAAAAAAAATATAGAAAATAGGAATAGAGAAGCGAATACTGTGCTGCTCTCAGTCCTTCAGCTTTTCATCCTTCCGCCCGGACTGCCGACTGCCTGCTGACATTTCAATTCATTTCAGATCGCAGTGGTGTCTGTTTTGTATATCACGTATTAGATTGTCGGGGCCAAGTGCCTGGGGAGATGATTTCCATCATTCATTTTCTCCGGCGAGGCGGCGGGCGGTGGGGCGGCGTGTGTCGAGCTGAGTTTTCAGTTGCTGGCAAAAGTGTTGCCACTTTGAATTATGAAGCAAGCGTGTGCCACCTATACTCATACACATACACACACGCACACACATACACATGCACAACAGGATGACGCAGCTTTGGGAATAAGCAGCTGAGAATCTGAGTGGCAGGCAAATGAATTGTTTCTGCTCGCCTGCCGCCCCCCTCTGGCCTGCTGAACTTGACTCGACGCCGACGAGCCGAAGCGTTTAATAAGCGCAATATACATCGATATGAATAAGTAATATGAATATGCGCATATGCGCAAGCCAGAAAGTTAATTGGATGAAAGTGAGCCGACAGCTAGCTGATATGGGGAGTCAAAGGGCTCGTAAAGAATACACACTCACACACACTCACACACACTCACACAGACACACACACACACACACACACAGCTGGTCAGCATTTTTGTAAAGCTAAATATAACGTGGGGGAGCTGCAGATTTAAGGTATCAATCAGGATAGAAATATTTCAATATTTGCACTTAAAAATGTTGGCCTTTATTGAGATTTGCTAACAGTAAATCTGTCCTGTTTCTGTTCCTGTTTCTGTCCTGAAAAAATACTTTATACCTTATTGAGTCCATATATACGTCCTATACAGTTTTCTTAAATAAGGGAGGTCTGTAGCTCTGAGCTTACTTTAATTTTTTCGTTTGTAAGTCGGGTTTATTATTATTTTGTTTCGATTTTGGTAATTAATTTTTGGCTTAAACTAATTTTGCAACTCTAGCATAAATTTGACAGCTAACAGTAAACTGCCATTTGCAACGCTTCCAAGTCCTTCCTGCCTGGGGCAAACTCGGTCTAAGTTCGGGTCTCGGTCTGAGTAACAGGCTCGAGGTCAGCTCTTGAATATCTGCTGGAATGCTAGTTTCAGCAGAGCCTGCATCGCGATGATACAGAGCATGCCCAAATAGAGCTTCCAGTTCAATTGCCCCAGGAAGGAGTTGTCGTCAGAGCTGGACGCCAGCATGTGGCGCATTGCATACGACTCTGGCTGAATGCGCAACAATCCCAGGCCAGACTCTGAGGGGGGCTGTACGCTGCCCCTCGCCAAGTCGACGTGCTCATCAGCCCGATCGAAGGTAGAGGCGTTCCTGTGACTCATGTTCTGATCAATGCGCGACATTCGCGCGCGCAGGAAGTTGCGGAACTGAGGGCGTCGCGGCAACGCATTGCTCGACCGGCTCAGATACCGCAACACGTGGCTGCCCACCACGGACACCTTGCGCACCATTTCCGGGCGCTGTCGCACACGCTCGATCCCCAGCGGCAGCAGCAAGAGTGGATGCTGCCTCAGCTGCACACCGTCCCCAACCTGGCTGTACTCCCGAATACTGCCCGTCGTCATCCTTGGGGCCAACAGGTCCTGCATGGCCTGTGGCGTCGTCGCCAGCATCATCGTGGCCATAAAGGCGCTCGGCACCTGGTCAGTTGCGCGTGAGTGGTATCCCAGTGGATTACCAACTGTCGCTTCTGTTCGGGACATGGTAGTTCTGGTGCTGAAATTTCTACTGTACCGGAAATGTTTGTTTCAAATTCATTGAAATGTTCGAAAGTCTAATGAATGGACAGTACCAGGCTGCTAGACCTTAGATCTCTTTTCGCATTTTTCACTTTTTATGATATTTTAATTTGTATACCCTGAACCCATTTAAAATGGAAAATCTGTGTATATTGGTTTGGTTAAATGTATGTAACAGGCTGAAAGCAGATCCCGTAAATTATACATATTCTTGATCAGGGCGATGAGCTGAGTCGATTTAGTCTCGTCTGTGCGTATGTGAAACTTATTTAAGTATATCCTTTAAGTATATCCTATAAGTATATCCTATAAGTATTTCCTTTAAGTATTTACTTTAAATGTTTCCTCTAAGTGTTTCCTCTAACTATTTATTCTATTATTTCTTCTTAGTATTTATTCTAAGTATTTCATCAAAATATTTCCTCTAAGTATTTCTTCTAAGTAATTTCTCTAATTTCTTCAATACTTAACTGAACGACCAATAAAGATTTACACACACTTCACTTCATTTTACTGCACTGCACGACTGAGCGACCCCCACCAGGTCTGAACGACTGAAGAAATGCTACAGCTGCTGCCCTTTATATAGGGAGACTTTCACTCAAAGCCTACGTCGCTCTCAAATGTTAAGCCCGGTGCCAGGTAGAGCTCGTTGCAGCCGACCTTCAAGTGACCAATGGGAGCACTCTCTGCTGCTGCAAGCACTCCAGCTTCGTTTTACTCAAATATGAATATAATCTGAATACTGCTGTATATATATAGACAACTTTTTCTTCTTCATCAGTTGCTTTTCTCAGGCAGACAGAAATATAGACATACATATAAGCAAACAAACATGCATAGTTAAATCAGATTACCTTATTATGCTGATCATGAATATACATATATATACATATATACTTGTTAGGGTAAATGATATGCTATGATCTTGGTCTCTATCTCTCTCTCTCTCACTCCCATTGTTTCGTATTGTCTATATATCACTTTCACTTTATTTCAATCTCCCTCATACACTCACACATTTTCTATCTCTTTATCTCTCTCTTTCTCATACACACATACATATATTCCTATTTTTCTCTTTCGAACTAACTTTACCTCTTTCTTTTGCCCCTCCTTCAACCTTTTTCCTCTCTCTCTCTCTCTCTCTCTCTCTCTCTCTCACTTTCTGTCTGATTGTCAATATATCTTTTTCTTTCTCTCTCTCTCTCTCTCTCTCTCTCTCTCTCATACATACACACACTCCCTATCTCTCTACATCCTTCTATGGAACAACCTTCTACTTGTTTCTCTTGCCCTCTCTCGCCCTTTCTTCAACCTTTTTCCACTTACTTTCACTCTCTCTCTCACTCTCTCTCTCTCTCACTCTCTCTCTCTCTCTCTTTATCTCTCACTCTCTCTCTCTCTTTCCCAGTTTCTTTGAATCATTCTCAGCATATCAGTGAACCAATCACATTTGGCTTAATTCCTGCTTGCGCCAAAAGATGCATGGTTCGGGATCTTGGGGATGCACGCATCGCATTGCCGTTGCACATTTATGCAAATTATATGCCAGCGCAAGTGCTTTAGTGTTAGTGAGCCAGTGTTTGCAACTGTGTGTGTGTGTGTGTCGCACGGCGCAAGCAGCCCAAACAACTTCATGGCCAAGCGCAAAAAACTCACATGCGGCAGCCAGTGGCACACATATGACGCAAGTTTAACACGATGCAGCCGAAATAACAAGTGAGCGACACACGCACACACACACACACACAGACACACGCACATGTGGAGGAACAAGAAGAGATGCAACACACACACACACACCGAGTCGCGTTCATTTTGCGCCTTATCTGTGGCCGCAAGTGCTGCAAGTGCTGCGCCGCAGCGACTGAAATTATGCTAATTTTTTGGCTTTTTGTGTGGCAGAGTGCTCCAGCTGGCGCAGCGGTTGTTTTTGTTGCCACAGGACATTGAAATTTATAAGCAATGCGAGATGGGAGTAATGGCCAGCAGTTGGAGACGCGCTGCTGATAACGCGGCATTAATAACTGCCGCTCGGGCAGCTCTCTTGGATGATTGAACATTTTGCAACGCGCATTTGCTTATCTAGGCAGCCACCTACACGAGTCTCCACTGTGCCACTTGCCCACTATTTGTTGCTCATTTGGGAGCTAAGCAAAATGTCAAGCTCTTGCTTGTCCTTCGGCTCCTGATAAACTCTTGACCGCCTTTCCACAGTGCGCCCCCATTGGTCCAGCCGGCCTTTGCCTTTCCCTTGCCTTTCCCCTGGCCTTTCCCCTTGCCATGCCCTTTGCCTTGCTCCGGCCATTGCATATTCAACGTTTTGTTCGTGAAGCCTCTGAAAATTCCAAAACTTGTGCTGGTCAACTCTCCAGCGGCTACTTAGAGTACCGTCAAGTGTTGCATTTACACAAGAATTTTACTCTTTTTCTGTATTTGCCTCCCTTTCCCTGTCTATGTATATCTCTTTCTCTTCTCTGAGCAACAGTGAGTGAGTGAGTTGCTGTGGGCAATATATGAATGTGTTGCCAAATTGAGCAGTTGTTGTTGTAAATTTATGCAGAAAATGTACACGAAAATTGCTGAAAAGAAAAAGAAAATAAAAGAAAATAAAATAAAAAAAAAAATAGAAAAATAAAATAGAAAAAAACAAGTAAGAACGTTGCAGTCGGGCGTTACCGACTGCGGAATACTCATTCACATCCCATCAACAATTTAGTAGTTAAGTTTCGCTCTAATACTGTAGAATATACAGGGTTTTCCGATTTGCCACGCCCCAACTGGGCG